TATATATCGACAGATAGCTTGGGCAGATAGTGGGAAAGATAGTGATTTTACATATTTCCAGCCAGCCCAGCAACCACCCACCTCTGGGCACCGCATAGCCGTGGAGGTAAATCAATTAAGCCCGAGAATTATGGGACAGTCGGGGGCACTGGCGGTCAGCATTGAAGTACGACCGCTGGAACTGGAACTGGAACTGGTGCCTATGGCCTGGACGTGGGTGCCACTTTATTATATGGCTTACCGCATTTGAGTTATATTCGACTTGATTTTATTGCATTTCTGCTGACCGAAAACAAAAGCGAGCGATAATCAAGAGGCGGAAACTTCAAGGCGCAAATAAATTAGAGCAACATAGGGGTCGGTCTCTCAGGTCGCGGGGTCTAGTCTGGTTTCGTTTCGTTTGGTTTGGTTTGGTTTGGTTTGGCAGCTTTATCAATCGAACAATTATATCTTGTAGCTGGCGCACGGCAAAAGTACACAGCGAAGGTTTTTCAGCGCCCAAGCGGTCTCTGCACGCAAAACCAGTCACGAACAGAGAGAGCAAAATGAGAACTAACTATTGAGCCAGATCGAAGATTGGGAACAAAACGCCTAAACTTATTAATTTAACCCAATTCGGTGCTCGTGTCGCAGCTCCATGGCAAAACCAACAGAGAAAACGGACCAAGTCGATCTGGGGAAGAAAGAAATTAAGGCGAAAAGGGACCATAACAAGAAGGAGAGGCCTTGATTGGTCATATACAATCTAGAAGCCATTTATGTACATATGTCCCTAAACATAGATATACATACAGATGCATATGGAGACAAGAGCCAGAACAACAAGAGCTGTTGTCTAGGTCAGGGTTTGCTGGTGCGGACAGAAAGCAGATACAACAAAGTTCTCTTAATACTATATGGATTCTCTGTTGTACAACCTTTGATTGTTTGTTAATAGACACTTACCTACAGCAAATCGCAATCAAAAGCAATTTCAGGCACAAGCACACAGATATGTATGTTAAATAGTTTTGATTTGGGGACTTATCAAAGTTTACCAATTACGTAAAACAAACACTATTGACACCTTTCAATACGCTTTTTGTATAGATCACTACACCAAAGCGTACTAACATCTGATCTACAAGTCAAAAAAAATTGTTTTTCGCGTGGAAATTTAACAAAAAATAAACAAACCAAGGAGACGAGAAAAAGCGCCAACAGAGACGAGACGGAGCAATGACAACCGCACGCGGCCACAGAAAATCAGAGCTTAAATTTCAGACTTTAGTAAAAAGCCAAGAGCAGAGCAGAGTAAAGAGAGAGCAGAGCTTCAATCGCGTAAATGCTCTCTCTGATTGGGAGAGTCGAGTATTCGTAGTGAGTGTGTGTGTGTGTGTGTGTGTGGGAGTGAAAAAACCAGTTTGTTTGTGGCAAACTTGTTGCTCTCCCTCTCTCTCTGTCTCTCTCGTATCCATCTGTGTATGTTTTATGCGTTTATGCTTTGCCAGCAACTTTTTAATTTAAAAGCCGTTGGCTGTTGCGTGTTTTCCTTTCTTCTGCTTCTGCTTCTTCTTTCTTCTGTATCTGTCTTCTGCTGCTGCAGAATCAAAACAAACGCGCTTCTTTTCGTTGGTTCTTTGTTTTTAAATACCCTGCCAGATTTTGAGTATTATAATTTTTGCCCAAATCTTCGATACACAGATCACATATCATACCGATACCGTAAAACATACATATAGTTACATATTTCAGTCATGCGTACATACACATGTATGTATATGTATGTAGCTGCCATAGGAATGATAGGTCACAAGTCCATTCTTTTTTGAGAGACAACGCAAGTGCAATCGATCGATCTAGCAAGGGTATTAGAAGCTTCGGTCTCTCTCTTTTGCTTCTCCTCTTGTCGCTCTTGTGCTTTGACTGTTCTGTTTCCTTCACGTTTTTCGTTTTCGTTTCGTGTCGTTTCGTGTGTACGTCCGTCCAGGCAGGCAGCTCATTAAACTTTTTACAGCTACTGTTCCCCCCACCCCATGCGCGCACACACACACACACACACACGCACGTAATTAATTTCAATGGCCCCGAACCCTTTGGAGCACGCTCAATTGTCCCGATAAGCCAGCCCCCGCCATCGACTCGTCGACGGATCGCATTTGGGTTCGTGTTCTTAGGCGGACGGACTCTTTGGTTAATTGACTTTCGTCAAATCAAATTAGTTTCTGTGTTTCCAATCGGGAAGTTCATCGCGACTCCAATGCATTAACAGCAGCCAGCTGGTGTTCTCCTATGTGGATCTTAATTGGTTATCTACAAACTTGGCCTCTGCGGATGGAAAGGGGAAAATTTACACCTAGTGAAATGAGGTTCGGCACTCATAGAGATACAGGTAACAGACCGAAGGATCAGCATCAATAAGTGAAAAAAATCTCCTTGCTGTACATACATATTTCTCCGAGGACTTATTCACAATGGTGAGACTCAGAGCCCGCTTCAGCTGTCTCACATTTATGTACATATGTAAGTTTTTTCTTCCATTCTGGCCAACATATCTTACGTTTATCGGACTGACTGCACTACCGACCCACGTCACGAAAGATACACAGGACCACATGATGCCACATGAGCAGCAGCAAATGCAATTGGAGAGACCAGACCTCGTTCGACTGGGATCCGTAGGATGAACGTTTATAAGGGATATGAAACATGTCAGTCCTGACGTGGATGCGCGTCGAGGGTGCCCCAGCGCATGACAACCTGCAATCAAGCGCCAGCGGGCACGGCCCATGGATTGGGATCATCAGCATGCTGCATGCAACGAAAAAGCGTAGGCCAAGAACATACTGCGAGTGCAACTGCAATAATACAGCGACATACATAAATTATGCGCCAAACAAATAAGGTCTCGCCCAGCCCTAACGGAGGCAGCCCCATAATGATGCCATGGGGCCATCATCAAGTTGTTACTGTTTCCTTGCTTCCTTGCCTTCCTTGGCAGTTGCCGCCAGTAGTTGCACAAAGTCATGGTCGCCACAATTGTACAAGCTGTTTGTTTCTTCTGTTGTCTTGGCTCCCCACGACCCCAAACGGATGGCAATAAGAAACAATGCCCACAACCGCAAGAAACAATTAAGATGGCTCCACAAAACAAGGAAAGCACCGAACTGCCATTTAAAGCCATGTACACACACACACATCCATTCCAATTGGGATTGAGGGCGAAGGAGCCACAAGTATCGCTCCAGTTACAGTATACATATGCTTCCGTTCGAACTTAAACAATATAGAAGAATCTACATCAAAAGTTAAAATTCGTTCAAACCGTCAAACCTCTGGCCCAGCATCTGCTTCGCCACGAGCCAAAAGTCATTAACTTACTGCTGGAAAGCAGACGGTTGCAGTTCCGATTAAGTGACAGGTTAAATGCTAAGCCATAAGTTTTAGCCCCAAACAGCACGAGCCCCGAACTTTTGCAGCCGGCTAAAAGCAACAGGAGACAGAAGTGACTGGCCTGGCTCGGGGGCACCTCAAACCGGTTGCCATGCTCCCACAGGCAGCGATCGCACACCACACCAACCTCTGGTTGTCTTGCCTGATGGTTTACTTGTCCAAGCAGACGACAACGACGACGCATTTAGGTGCAACAGTTGTGGGGCGCAACCATTAGTCGTAATCTTTGGGCAATTGTCGTTGATTGTTGTCGTCCGTTGTGCCTTGGGCTGATTCCCAGCTGTCTCGGCTCGTCCCCAGGTCAAATTTGCTTGATTAGCTAAAAATGCATGCGAAATCTCCATAGAGCCTCATCAATTCATTGAGATCATCTTATATGTGTATTTACATGTGTACAGTAGAGGTGGAGAAACATCGATGTTTGGATGTACACCGCAGATTAGATTACATTAGGTTTGCAGTCCTTTTGGCCGTCCCACCGCCAGGAGGCGGATATACAGGCCTACCTGTCGCTTGTCGTTGAACACCAGCAGCGAGGTTATGTGAGTCATGTCCAAATGGCCCTTCGTCTTGATCAATATTCCTAGCTGCCAACCAGTATCTGACGCTTCTTGCCATCCAGTAGAGGCGTGGCGTCTCCTGGTCTCCTGGTAAGCCCGCCGGATGCGAGTCCGTGGGTTACTCTGTTCAGTACATGTAGCCGCGAAGCGTCTCTAGGACCAGGGAACCCTGATCCCTTTACGATATTCCCTGGAAGCCTGGACCCTCCACCCCCTTCCGCAGGATGCGGACCCTTGGCAAGGAACACAGATAATCAGGGCATTGTCGTTGTACAGCTGACTTAGCTTTATTTAGCTTCTTCGCAATCGTCTTTACCTTTTGCCTAACTGCTGTTGTAACGCAATGTTTCAGCTGGTTTCGTGGCGTCAAACGCCAAAAGAGCATGTCTATTTCAAAGGCAGTGAATCGATTTTTTTGAGATTTATGTTATATCCAGTTTCCAAAATTTTTTAAAATTGTGCTCAATTTTTTACATGGCGCTAATTACGCTACAATCTTGCTAATTAGTAATATTTAATTGTTATTTGCTTTATGTCTCCTATAATTGTCGTTTCAAACAAAAACGATGAAAAAATCAAATTGGGTTTTTTTTTTAACCCCGTGTCGCACTTGTAATTTCAAATTCAAACCGTTCTTTCAAATCAGCCACCTAGGAAGTAGCTGTAAAAAAAAAATTGGGTATGGACAACAGGCAACACGGCCCAGAAAATGCAACGCGAGCAAGGTAAACCCCACTTCTTTTGCCTAATATACCTTGGAGAAAAACATTGGCTTTTTGTCTCCAAGGCATATTGTTCGGCAAAACACGGCGAGGTGAGGTTCGTACGAGCCTTGCCATCTTCATTGGATGTTTTTGACTGTTGTCCATTCCCCTTTTTATAGCCCATTCAAAATAACTCACCCGACTCATTTTTTCGTTGCATGTCTGAGTCCGGCGTGTCGTCAGCCAAACAGCTGTTCGGAATAAGTGTTGAATAACGCCATCTTTAAATTGACAACACTGCGATATGGGATTAAATATTATATTATTTCGCCACTAAATAATTGTTTCTGCGGCACTATGAACACGATACGGAGCTCCACCCCCGTACTGCGGTCCAGGACCAATGGCAGCACCGTAAGTGCCGCCTGTAACGCACACAATGCACAGAGAAATGTCGAGCGCCACCGGACGCATAGCAAAATACTTGGCGGCCGTAACAATCGCAGCCGAAATAATGAGCGAACTAAACTACCGACCAATAAAAGATCACTACCAGAAATCGAATACGAAGAGGAAATGTATGAGAATGATCCTTTGGCAGATGAACAAGACTCAGAGGTAAATCATTTTGTGTGGCATCGTGGCACAGTTTTGTAAATGTTATTCCTTCCAGGGTAGGATTGTGAAGAATCCGGCTCACCTTAAATCGCCACCTGGTAAAAAACCTCTCCTTCAACTACTAATGGACGAGGACCCACTTTTTCCTATGCAAGCAGTCGAATCGAGAGATAACGAGACATCGCAAAAGTTTTACGTGCGCCTTACAGACGCGCCAAAGGATGTGTGCATTAGGCAGATTAATAGCATAAGATCTACACCAACCAAAAAAACAGAAAAACCTTACCGCCCAAGCGCATATTCGACTGCGCGGTCAAGCCAGCGCTTTATCTGGCGCTCTGAGGCGACATGTAGGCTGCTGCAATTGTGGGAGCAGCATTTGACAGAATTTCGCGGTAAAAAGAGAAATACAGAAATTTATAAAGAGATGGAAAATCAAATGCGTGATTTTGGCGCACCAAGTCATGTTGAAATTAAAGGTAAAATGGATAACCTGTCGAGGAAATATCGGTAAATACCTATACATATACATTTGATAGCAGGCATATATAAATAGTTTTTCTACCAACAGCCAAGAAGCTGAGAAACTTCGATCGACCGGAGCTCGATCCAAGTGGGTGCTTTTCCATACGATTCAAAAACTCCTGATTGGTACCAAGTCCGTCAATGTTTTTGAGGATATTATGTTCGAGAAAAATGGTAAGATAAGATTTAAAAATGATTTCATATATTCAAAGAATTTATTTCAGGATCCTCGAACAATTTAAGCAAAGATCTGGCGTCTGGCGATAATGAAATCCATTCATGGATGGATTCTCCAGCTCCCAGTTACGAAAATCATCGACAGGAAGATAACGAGTTGGACGACCATCCCCACGAGGATACGCTTGGAAAAAATTATCTTATTGAGGAGACAGAAGGTTTTAATGACGATCAATATGAGAGAGCCACCTCCTCGCCAGATTTTCAAAGTGAATTGAACAGGAAAGAAAGTCTTTCAGATCGATTGCTAGAAATCGAGGAGGAAAAACTGTCCATAGAACGGGAGAAGCTTAAAGTTATGAAAGCGGCTGTAAAGGAACTGTCCGCATTCCATAGAGATATAATGCAGCATTTGGAGCAAAAAAACAAAAAATAAAGAGAAAGCCTATTTCAATTTGAATGTTTGCCTGTTTCAAGGGCTGCTAACTCGTTTTCCAGATTGTTACGAATTGTTATAGCTGTATGAAATTCGGCTTTGCTGAATTTTCTGCGGAGAGAGATGAGATGAGCATGTTAGAAAAATATAGAATAAATAATAGAAAAAGATCAGCTGAGACGGGTAAGTAAGTGTTTTTTTTTCAGACTAGATTACCTTTTTCAAGGGCTGCCAGCTTGTTTCCGTTGATTATCGATAAGAACTCTTATCGATGAACGATAGAACTTATTATTGTCATTACTAGCGTTATGGCCGACCAGATGGAAACAAGCCAAATTTTTACGAGCAATCTAGAATACGCGGCTAGAACTAAAGAATCGCAGCGAGAAATAGCACAAAAAATCAAAACAGGCGAGTACAAGCTGCTGCGCAAGGATCAACGCAGCACCGTTTGGAAAGTGTACCGGGTAATCATTGACTCCGACGGTACGCCACTGAGATCGTCGTATTTTTGCACCGGATGCAATCGAGTGTTAAAATCCGGCAGTGGCAACACATCGAATCTCCGCATCCACAAGTGTCACGTCAAATATATGAGACATCTTTACAAGGAAAAAGAGGCGAGACACGCCATGGAGAAACAACAGGTATGTGCCAATGAACCCACCAAAATTGGATTTAGAAAGGTCTTTTGCAGAAAATATGTAGGATGACATTCGTGATAATAAGCTGGAGTATACACAAGCGGAGATGAGGCAGCGAACGTATCGCAAAGATAATCCCACCCGACACGAATGGTGCGCCAATGGCACCAAAATGCTTCTGCAGCTGTGGGCAGTGTACATTGATGATTTGCGCGGCAAGCGCAAGAATAGCCATGTTCATAGGGAAATGGCACTGAAAATGAAACATTTCGGGGCAAGTCCTGTCGAAGTCAAAGCCAAAATGGACAATTTGACCAAGAAATATCGGTATGTTTATTGTTTCATATAGTCAATAATATGTACTGATATGTGATCTACATTTTTATTATTTAGCAAGGAGGCGAAGGATGTTCAATTATTTGGGAGGCCATCCAAGTGGGAGCATTTCTATAGACTTCAGTCACTCCTAATTGGCACCAAAGCCGTTGATCTAAGTAGCGATTTCACGTTCGACAGCAGAGGTAAGTGTGGGAGATACGATCAATCAGAGCGACAATAAATAATACTATAATAATACTTGTAGCCTCTTCAGATGACGACAAGGATGCAATGGAAAGTGCAACTGATGATATCGATGAGGCCTATGCTGAAGAGGACGAAGAGGACAATTCCCAAGATGGGCTACTCCAAGACGAAGAAGAGGAGGATGATTATATCCCAGACAACATGATAGAGAATATAGAAGTCCCCTCTGTTCGACCAGCTTTGAGGAAATACGCCGAGACTAGCATGGTAGAGGAAATGGAATTGCCTTCTGCAAGACCGTGTTTGGAGAACTACGAAGAGGAGCTCGATAAGCAGAACCTAACTATAGAACAAAAGTACAAAGCTAAACGGAAAAGAGAAGCTAGATTGCTGGAAATAGAAGAGGAAAAGCTGGCCATAGAGAGGGAAAAACTGAAAACGATGAAATACTTAAAGCAGGAGCTGTCATCCTTTCATAAGGACATGTTTAGGCTGCTTAACCACAACAATTAATCTGCAATTGGCAAATAAGAAATGTACAAGTAACAATAAATTTAATTTTTTTTTCCTAACATACATTTGTTGTCGAGCAGTTGTCGCATTGGATAATCGGCATTATTTATTAATTAGCCTGAAGCCCTGGTCTGTGAGGGCTGTCAACTTGTCAACCGCTCGACGTTCGATGCAGAACCCAAAGATGTTTAGTATATCTCCATCCCTGGGCTGGTGAGGGCTGCCATCTAGGGCCGATAGCGCCGTCGCCACACTGAGAAACAAAAGATGTTTGTCATAAGTTCTCTCGAAGAAGAAAAGTGCAAAGAGTCCCAGCTGGACATATTGCTAAAAATTAACACAGGCGAATACGTTTTGCAGAAAAAGAAAAAGCGTAGCTCAGTTTGGAACGTATATCGGGAGATTCTCCGTTCCGACGGATCAAGGCTGAAATGGCGCTATTATTGTGTGGGTTGCAAGCGGGTAATGCAGTCCACCGGAGGAACCACATCTAATCTACGTATCCACAAATGTCATGTCCGCTACCTGAAGCAAAACGGAAATATTTCTGCCGACGATGCGCCAAGTCCTGTCACCGACTCGGAGAGCCCCGCAAATCGTACCGACAACGAAAGGGTACCGAGCACGGTGGAATCCACAAGAGCAAACCGTCATCGGACATACGCCGACCAATACGAGGCGTTCTATGATAATAAGATGACCCCCAAAAGACAGTATGAGATGGACGACGAAATAAACCATCTTGACGAGCCAGATCCCGTCGAAGAATTTGCGAACGTAAGTTAATGATAAACAATTTTGAGCTGCAGATGACCAAAGTGACATTTTCTCTGCTCCGCAGCAGCGACCGAAGGTAGATCTGGGAATGAGCTCCACCGATACGCGTCCGCTGCTCAAACTATTTTCTGAGGAATCCTGTTCGGGCGAAACGGAGCAACAGAGCCCCATTGTTCTGGAAAGCCCAGTCATTCTAGAAGAGTTTCAACGAGGGACGCTCGAGCCAAACGCAACGAAATGCATCCAGATCGACCCCAGTGCCCTATCCGAGGCCGAAAGCTACGCACGTTCCTGGGCTCATGCATTCCTCAAGCTAAGCGAGGACCAAAAGTTCTATGCCAAGCGCTCCATAGATGAGCTGCTCGTGCTGGGTCGCCTGGAGAAATTGAATATATCCACCGTCACCTCGCTGACGACAAACTTGTAAAATTCAAAACTTTAGAGCCAGTTTCTGCCTAAACTAGTACAGTACACCATAATCGTAGCTTTCCATACACTTGAAGATTGTTCGTTCCTGTGACAGACATAGACACAATAGTCATTCGATTTAAAATCCTAGCTGGGTATTGTTAAGGGGATGGATGGGAGGGGATATTGTTCGTATCAAAGATAATAAATCTTAAGATAGGCAGACCAAAAGAATGTTTATACAAAGGTAACAAATGTGTTAGTCTCATAAATAAACTCAACTTAAAAATGTGTTTTTCAATTTTTTTATTTTTTCCAATATGTTTTTAAAGTTTTTTTTTACTTTTCCTTTGTTGCCATTTTGCATTTGTTGTATGTAGATTTTTCGCTTTTGCTCTTTTCTCAGTTTCTTTATGAAGTTTGCTGTGAATTACATGATTCTCTTGTTTGCTCTGCTCTGCTGTTACGTTTCGCCCCTCTTTCGATATTTTCAGTTACAGTTATGTTAATTAGACGGTTTTCAACTTGCGTGAGCCGTGAATGAGGGTGAATGGTAGTGTGCTTGTTCGAGTGGTAAAGGGTTCAAAATAACTTTTGTGAAATAATTTAAAATGTTATTTTCATGTTTGTTGACCTCTCTTTTCTGAGAATTTCTGGGCGTATTTGAATTTATTGCTTACTATAATACACTTCAATTTGTTTTGCAGATTTTCGGGGTTCTAAATTTGAATTTGAAATTATTCCTCTTTGCTATTGTATGAGATGGGGGTGTATGAGAGTTTCCCTACAAAACGGAAAGCAAAGCAAACGAAAGAAATATACGCTACGGCCCAGTTTGTTGTTGCTCTTATCTGCAGAGTCTGCAGCACTTGATGTTTTTTTTTTTTTTTTTTTTTGAGTGGGTTTTGTTGCATGTTTCTGCTGTTGCTGCTGCTTCTGGTGGTGTTGATGGTGTTCTTCTTGTTGTCTGGATCTATGCAGTACTTTCTGTTGTAGTATTCTGCACCTCCTGAGCGCCGTTCTGTATAGGATTCGCGGATGATGGTAGGGGGTAAATCATAAGAAATCAACTTAAAACAAATCATGGTATATGGAACATGAAGAGCTGTTATTTGTTTGGTTTTGTTACATTCATGTTGTTAGACCCAAAGCCTCTTATGTTAAGTATTACAATTATTCGTTTTCCCTCTGATGTTTTAGTGGTTAATTATGAATGCATTTTAGTTAGTTGTGTGTGGAGTGGGAGTGTTTCTATTTCTATGTTGCCGACACCAAGTAGTATTTGTTGCTGTTGTTGTTGCTGCCGCCATGCTGATTAGTGGTTGTTCTTTTTTGTTGTTACGGTTGGATGTTGCTTTGGCGATGTTTTCTATTTGTGTCAGTGGTGATTAGTTCATTACCTGCTGTGGCTGCTGCTGCTGCTGCTCCAGACCACCGCCAGGACCATTCGGCTTCCGATTCTGGCGACGGGGGCGCGGCTGCTGCTGGCGCGGCGGGCCCTGGCCTTGAACTGCAACAAGGGCAAAGCGAAAAGTTAAAAAAGGAAAAGAAAATGGGATGCTTGTTGGAATTACTTGGTGCAGTGTACTCACTGTACTCCCCGCCATCGCGTCGTGGTGGTGGTGGCCCGTTATTGTAGTTGCGTCGGAAGAAGCGTCTCTGGGGTCCGCCGGGGCCGCCGGCACCGCGACGAGGGCCTTCTCCGCCGCGCTGCAGACCCTCGGGATTCTGGTCGTGAACACCAGGATCGGCACTGCTGCCATCACCGCCGCCCAAACCGCGACGCTGCTGACGCGGGTAGTAGTTGTTGTAGCGCCTGGGTCCACCAGGGGGTCCGCCTGGACCACGGGGAACGCCGCGAGGTCCACCGGGGGGTCCGCTTGGCCCGCGACGATAGTTTTGGCGGGGCTGGCGGGGTCCGGACTGCAGCTGCTGTTGTCCATCAAGGGGCTGCTGCTGCTGCTGGTCTGGGGACTCCATCTCATCCCCCTCCTCGACATCCTTGCGACGGGTGTTCTTCTTCATCCAGGGCCGGAAGTTGCGACGCTTGTCCGCAGCAAACTGGCTGCCGCGCACAGGCTCTCCAGACGGACCGGTAACATTGGCCGCCTCGTTGCCTTTCTCGCCAATAACGACATCGAACTCGACCACCTCTCCATCGCCCACCGAGCGGACAGCCTTTTTCGGATTGTTGCGGGCAATGGCGCTCTGGTGCACGAAGACGTCCTCTTTGGTGTCATTCCGGTTGATGAAACCGTAACCGCTCTTCACGTTGAACCATTTGACGGTGCCGGTCACTTTGGTCGCTGCAATTGTGAGGTTAGAAACGTCATTGTTGGTTTTGCTGCCATTCGAGGCGAAATGGAATGGAAGCATGAATAGTGGGTTACATATGGATTGCTGGCGCCTTAAAAATGCATTTAATTTCCAATACGCGATTCAAGCACATGCCACTCTGCGGTGCGTATGTTATGTGTGTGTGTCGCGTCTGCGGCAGTGTATACAAATAAATTTACCAAAACAATGAACACACACACATGAACATATTCTCAATGTCTTTCTCCCTCTCTATATCTTTCTCACTCTCATCGACGTGCGCGCGCGCAGATAACGTAGAGGACCAACAAATTGGGTTGCTCGAATTTTAGGTGCGGGGGACCACGCAGGGGCAGACCAAACGTACGGGGGTGGGCAACACCGGCAAAAGGCAAAGTTTTCATTTCGTTTCTTTGCGGCCGGGCCACGGACGGGGCCGGGGCCGATTTTCATGAGGCGGCGGGCGGTGAACCGGTGAACGTTCATATGTATGTGCCTTGCTATACAAAATGGCCGTCGTGCGTATATTTTAAGACACAAACACACACATACACGCAAAAAAAACTCTATATGTGTACACACACGCACATTTTACTTTTTCATTCCTTTCATTGCTATTTTGGTAGAACTAGCGGTCGCCATGTGTTTGCGTATGAATGAAATGCAAATCCATTTACGTTTGCTCTTACCAATAATTTCCTTCGGCGGCGGAGCTGGCTTGCCTTCTCCCTGCTGGCCATCGTCCTCCTGCTGTTCCTCCTCGGCCAGCGGCTGCTGTTGTTCAATGGGCAGCAGCTGCTGCGGTTTGTTCTCAGAGTCTGCCATTTTTTCGTTGTTCTTCTCACCCGCACTCGACGAACACGCGCTTCCAAAAATAAAAGGAAGAAAAATAAGCTGCTACCGCTTTTGAGGTGTCAGCCAAGTTTTTCTTGACTATGTGATGCGAAGCTCAAAAGCCGCAACTTTATTCTTCTCTGCTTATTGTTTTTGGGACTGATGGTCTGTGCTTGTCGTTGGTGTTGTTGTTGCTGGTCAGTTGTGGCACTCTTTCAACTACCACTACCACTTTTTGATGTTATTTTTGAGTGTGATCTTAAAACACTCGCCACTCGCAGGGTTTTTCTTTGCCGTATTTTGTTCGCAAGCGGAAGTGACAATGACAGCAAACTAGGGCTGTTAGATATATATTGATACACAATATCGATATATATTTATTTTTTGATAATATATTTGTACGTGGTTTTTTGAGATGTATAATGAACAGCGCTACTTTTCGGAATGCTAAAAAAATCAGCATAATTTTTCTGTTGTTTCACGTCGTTAGATTAGTCAGATATTCCTGCAATTCTACTTATCGATACACAGGGTAGCTGTTGCAAAAAAAATCGGTATTTTTGAGATGGAACGAACTCGGCGGTTCTTTATTTAAAAAAAAAGCGAAAGCAACTATGGTTCAAAATATAATTTTTCCGGCATAAAATCAAAAAGTGATCATAGAGGTATGAAAATGTATACATTAGATTGGCATGAGAGCCAATCAGCCTGTTGCGTGGAACCAACAAATTACCTAAGCTTATTTGAATTAAATGTTTACCAGAAATTACCCAATTCTATTTTGTTTACAATTCTTGTTAGAATCAAACAGTAGTCGAAATGGGTAATTCCAATCAAGATATGTACGTATATGACGGCATAATCAAACTCTTATTTTAGTGGTAATCCGCAGCGTAGCGTTTAATTAAGGCCTCACGCAATCCTAATTGGGATACGATTCCCCAGGGAGCCAAGGACTTTCGTAAAGCGTTGACTTTGGCTCCGACAGTTGGCTTTGCCATGGTGGAGTCACCGGTCGTTTTACTGCTGCTGCCAATAATTTGTGTGGCCTCCCATTCTTTATCTGCAGAATGGAGGCTGGCTAGGATGAGCTGCCAAATCGTCATCCAGCAAGCCACGCAGGTCACCTACATATATCGATGTGTGAGTTGCTTAGGTGCCGGCACACCCGATCATTTGTCTCTGGAGCTGGAGCTGCATCGATGTGTGGGCAGTCAAGTGGGCACAGTGACGCGCGACATTGAGAGCCACGAACTGGAGCCCTTGCGTCGGACAGACAGCATGAGCATCTTTCATATTCCCGCAGGCCGCGATGGGGATGGCCTAGTACGTCGTATAATCGATATGCTAAATCCGCGACAGCCTCGCAGGCACCTCCACAAATATATCTTCCTGTGGCCCGGCGCCAATCTTGAGCAGCTGCATTCCCTCTTCTCTGGATGCTGGGCGAAGCAGTTGCTGTTTGGGCTGGCGATCACTCGAGTGGATGACGGAATCTTTGATTTTGACCCCTTTCCCGAGGGTGGGCTTCGGGTGATGCGGCACCGCGACCACGCTGCAAGCTACTCCGACAAGCTGAGGGATCTGCGGGGATTCGAGCTGCGCTACTCTATGTTCACGGATCCTTTGATGGCTATACCGATACCACCGGTGGCCAGATACGGATACAGGGCAGTCGATGGCGTGGCAGCCCGCGTGGCCGCACAGATCCTAAACGCCAATGTAACCTACGTCCTGCCCGATGATAACGAGTCCTACGGACGCTGCCTTCCCAATGGAAGCGTTACCGGCGTGGTCAGAGATCTCATCAGCGGCAAGACGCACTTTGGGCCCAACTCACGCTTTGTCCTGGACTGCATGTGGCCGCAGGTGGAGGTGCTATATCCACACACGCGGAGGATGCTTTACCTGGTGGTGCCAGCGTCGGACATTCAGCCGGAGTACCTGATCTTTCTGCGGGTCTTTCGTCGGTCCGTGTGGCATCTTCTGTTGGCCAACTTCCTGCTGGTTGTGCTTTTCTTCTGGCTGTTGCAACGATTGCAGAAGTGCGTGCCACGGAGATGGGAGATGGGGCGGGGATTCACCTTCGCTCGTTGGTATGAGATCGTCGAGACGTTTGGCAAAACCCATTTGGGGGAACCTGTCGAAAGATTCTCGCAGATCAGCTCGATGCGGGCCTTCCTCATGTGTTGGATTCTCTTCAGCTATGTCGTGACAACCATTTACTTTGCCAAGCTGGAGAGCGGCTTTGTCCGGCCCACATACGAGGCGCAGCTGGATAATTTGGACGGACTTTCTCGCCTCAATGTGCGCATCTATGCGGTGACCACCCTCTTCGATGCGGTCAAGTCCACACTGTCGGAGCGCCACTACGACTTGCTAACCAGTAGGAGCAGGCAACTACCATTGGAACTCACCACCTCCTATTACCAGCTGATAGTGAGTCGCAAGGATAGGCGATCCGCTTTTATAATGAGGGACTTCCATGCGAGGGACTTTCTGGCCCTCACCTACAATGCCCAGACGGATCGTCCCTCCTATCACATTGTTAAGGAGTACCTCAGATCCATGCTGTGCACATATATTATGCCGCTGGGATCGCCATTCCTTTACAAATTTCAATCCCTGTACACGAGCTTTCATGAGCACGGATTCTACGAGCATTGGCGCCAAATGGACTTGATTACTAGGGATGGGACATCGCCCAATGCAGAGGAGTTTTATGAGGAGTTGGGCGACCAAACGGATACGGATCCTGCTGTATCTGACGCCGTAGGCAATCGCCGAAAGAAACATGTGGTTCTAACGTTGGATGTATTGCAGGGGGCTTTCTATTTGTGGTCGCTGGGAATTGCATTGAGCAGCTTGGGCTTTGTGCTGGAGCATGGCTATTTTTTTTGGAAAAAACAAACTGCAGGATTAACAGAAACCGTATAATCCAAACTACATTTGTAACGAAATACTCAAATTATGTATCGATGTCCAACACCGATTTTATTTTTCTGAGTTGCATGTTTAGCATATCGATACTATTAATGCATATATTTTTCGTGTCCGGCAACACTCTTCACAACAGCTGATAATAGCTTAAAAGCGCAAAACGTATTTCGGTCGCTGCAAACAGAACTGCATTTGTTTATTAATCAATCAAAAATATAGCAACGCATGCAAAGAGCATCACAAAGCACCAACAAGCATCAACATGAACCTTATCTAGTGGAGACTAACAATTCCTCAGTGTATCCGAAGCTACAGCGGTAGTTATGGAAAAATCAAAGCAAAAGTGAACTTCAGAATAGTTAAAAGGTTAAAATTATAAGATATTCAATGACAAGGATTGAGTCGTGGTAGCCAAGTGAAAAATTCATCAACGTAAATCAAACAATTGGAGAATATTCCACTAAAAATGTTCCACTAGAGCGGCAAGAGTCAAAGGTGGCGTCGTCACAGTCACATCGTATGATCCATTCGAGCGCTCTGATTGGTCGAGAGCGCTTTTGCATGCTTTCCCGCTCGTTTATGTGTTCCTCTCTGGGCACAGTGTCCTCAGCAGTGCTGAAAAAGCTGCAAAGCTTGTAAAATACGGGACTTAAACTTAACCGATCGGGGCACAATGACTACTCCTCACATTAATTCATAATGAAAAGCATTTATATTTACACTCCTACATATACACCTTTATACAGTGGTAGCCATACATATCTCTAGAGTTTTCACCACCTGCAAATGAGTACGGAACCACTGTTGTATTGTTGCTAAAATTTGTAATTGCGCCGCTTAGAAATTTGATAAACAATCCGAGAGACGAGACGTGTGTTTATATTAATTACACAATATTGTTGATGTTTTCAGCAGCAGAAGAAAATCTGATATGGATCATAATAGCATGGACTTCATGTCCGGCCCCGTGGATGAGTCCCTGGACCTGTTCAAAGAGGACGATGCCTTCGACATGATCAACGAAGTTTTGCACCCGGACATGTTGGATAATTTCCTCAACGAAATGGACCTGGAACAGGCGCAAATGTACGAGAATATTCTGCGAATGGATGAGCCTCAGCCCATGGTGCAGCCACAGCAGCAGCAGCCATTGCAGCAACAACCGCTGCATGTTAAAAGCGAGCACTCTTCGCCAGTGCACATCAAGGAGGAGCTACAACTTCCCTTCTACAAAGCGGATCCTCTGATGACCGCCAGCTATAATTTACTTCAGCAACAGCCTCAGCCGCCGCAGCAGCAGCAACCTCAAACGCCGCAGCAGCCGCAGCAGCTGGTCCTTAAGGCTGCCCAGCCTACCACTACTATACACCACATGGATGCCACTAGGCTACCGCCAAATACCCCACTCTACACCTCCCCCCTGCCCAGTGGCTATGTTTACCAGACTTCTTCACCGCCCACGCCACCAGCCGAGTCGACTCCGCAAAGAATCCAGGTCCAGGCCCCTTCCCCATTGCCATTGGTCACGCAACCAATAGCACAACCTTTCATCATGTATACTCAGCCCATCACCACTAATCCGACGATTTTGACGACCGCAGAGCAACCTATGACGGTTCTGCTAGAGAAGACCATGGCCACAACTGTGACCAGTCCCAAGCCCTCACCGCCCATTGCACCGAGCAACGGCAACGGGAGCAGACCTAGCAAGGGGAGAGTACTTTTGGCACCGTCTCCAGCCACCGAAGCCGCCAATCAATCGGTGGCCGGTAAAGTGCCCATCAATAGGGTACAGCCCAAGGTGAAAGAAGTGAAGCGTTCGGCCCACAATGCGATCGAGCGTCGTTACCGCACTTCGATCAACGACAAGATCACCGAACTAAAGAATCTAGTGGTGGGGGATCAGGCCAAGCTGAACAAGTCGGCCGTGCTGCGCAAATCCATTGACAAGATACGAGATCTGCAGCGTCAGACGAGCGAGCTAAAGTCAGAGCTGCAGCGTTTGCAGCGGGAGTTGATGGCTCGCGATGGCTCCCAAGTGAAGGATCTACTTCAGCGGGAAACGCGACCATGGCCCGTCCGTGGTGGCTCGAAGAAGCGTCGCGAGAGCTCACTGACATCTACCACAGATGCTGGACTAACTCCGCCGCGTAGCGATGTCTCCGATCCCTCCCTCTCACCTCTGCACTCGGACATTTCCCTGCCGCCCTCACCATACGGAGGATCCACCGCCAGCTGCAGCAGTGGCGGCGACAGCAACTGCAGCAAGGATGATCTTCTGGTGGTGCCAAGCTCTATGCGGGGCATGGCCACCCACTCGCGCTTGGGGCTCTGCATGTTTATGTTCGCGATTCTGGCAGTGAATCCCTTCAAGAGTTTTCTCCACGGCGGAAACCAAGATGAGGATAACCTTGGAGGGGAGCTGAGCCGTCAAAGGCGCATGATTCTTTCCTACGATATGGATGGTGGTGAGTTTTCTTTCTCTCAGCCTCTGACTGTCTTATTCTAATTGATGTTTTCCTTTATGCGGCAGGCTATGCCGGCTGGCAGCACAGCTCCTGGCTATGGCTACTGAATTTAACGCTCATGTTGGGTTGCCTGGTGAAGCTCTTGGTGTACGGTGATCCCCAGTTGGATGCTCAGACGGATGCCTACTGGCAGCACAAGCAGCGAGCGGAGGCAGACTTTGCCGCGGGTCAGGGAGCCCAGGCCTATGCCGGCTATCTAAACTGCCTGCACATGTTCGGGCTGAGCCTGCCGGCGACACGCTTGGAGTGCTATTTGCAGACCACCTGGCAGTTCTTGCGGTTCATCTTCCACAGACTATGGCTGGGCCGTGTGCTATCGCGTCGCACCGGAGGCCTCTTTTGCAAGGCTGCCAACCGGAAACAGGCTCTGTCCTCGGCCCGAGAGCTGTCCTTGCTCTTTAATCGCCTCAATCAATTGCATCTGACTGGACATGGTAACGGCACGGACGGCAATGGCATAATGATGGCCCTCTATGCCAGCAATATGGCCGAGGTGGCACACAATCTATTGACGCCGCGCGAGACGATCTGCATACATGTTATGACCGCTCTCCGTATGAAGCGCAGTGCACCCAAATGGCTGCAGTCACTTTTTGCCCTCTACTACATGGGAAGGGCGCGACAGGAGTGCGGCCGGACTCGGGCTGCCGAACAGACGCAGGAACTGCGCTGGGCCTTTAGTGCCTATGGCTTCCGTTATTGCAGCACCCATGACTTTAGCTACGATCTAAGCGACTCTGGCGAACAAGATGGCTTTTTCACCAGGCTACGAAACGCCTGTGATCCTGCTGCCTATGTTATCAAGGTGGGTGGTTACTCTCGCTACTCGATCTGTATTCTCTGTCTATGTATATCCGAATCTTTCGTTAACAGCAATATAGGGAGCATCTACTGTTTAAGGCCATTGAGTGTCTCGTGGGAGCTGGCCACAAGTCGGCGGCAGGACTTCCCACTGCCGGCGGTGAAGTGGAACTGCAGCAGCAACAGCACAGCGGCACCATAGTCAGCAATGTCCTCAAGTATACCTCCCTGCTGAGGGAAACCCTCTGGGCCGACGAGGACGAACGCGATACAAATGTCGTTTGGTGGGCAAACATCTTGGAAATTGCCGTGCACTGGCTCCTTGGCGAGGACACACTGGCGGAACAACTATACGACAGCATCAAGCAGATTCCCGTGCAGCTGGAACCAAATAACGACACCAATCATCTGCCCAAAGCCCTTCATGCGGCGCTCGGTGCCAAGATGCTATTGCTCATGTAAGTGTGTGTGAATACTTCCAGGGAGAACTAAGAATCTGCAACATTTTCATGCAGGAACAATGGCAACACTCCCGACAAACGGCTTAAGAGATCGATCAACAGTTTGTGCGATGACGCCAGTGCACAGCTGCAGGAATGCTTGACCGTCAACCGGATCACCAATGCCAAAGGCATTCAGCTGGTGAGAGAGTGTAACAATCTGCATTTGATCAAAAAACCAAACCAAACACTCCCGGAGATGACACGCAGGTGCATTGTAGTCGCATTGTCTGTCCATCTTGATTTCAGGCAATACAACTGCAGTGCAAGCTCTGTGCATTTCATAAATCAACGCCGTCCAATGTCGCTGGTCCAGTTTCAGTCCCTGCCCCGGTGATAGATCGTCGCTCATTATTTCTGTTCTGATTCCGATCCAATTCCAGCTATTCCAACTGCTCACCTGCGATTGGCTTCTGGAGACGCTGACTGCTTTGTGGGAGCTAGAGCATATGAATGTCGAGGATGATGGTTACTATCAAGTGCCTGGCGAAGTGCTCGAAAAGTTCCAAGCCGGATTGAATTCCTTGCGAAGCATTGTTGAGAATATACCAGTAAGCGCTTAAATTAAATATTCTGATCAGCACAAAATGTCCCAAAATCCATAATTTTGCAGAACGCCCAATCGAGAATTTATTTGTATGAGGCCGTTTGTCGTCTCATGGCCGGTGCCTCGCCCTGTCCCACTCAGCAACTGTTGGATAGGAGTCTACGCTCGCGCTATGCCCATTCATCCATATTCTGTGGCAGCAAGGATCGGCGGCATCAGAACTTTGAGGGTGGGGAACGAGAGCGCGCCTCAGCCATGTACGTCGCATGCAAATATCTGCCACCAGCCCTGTTGAGTTCGCCTGGAGAGCGTGCTGGCATGCTGGCCGAGGCGGCCAAGACACTGGAAAAGGTGGGCGACAAGCGCAAGCTGAAGGAATGCTACCAACTAATGAAGTCGCTTGGCAGCGGCATTGGCAGCGTCAAAGCTTAGTTTAAATAAGAATTAAATTACACCCACATTTACTATGTTAGTGGATTTTTTTTTTGCACATTTCACCAAGGAGCCTTGCGCAGACCCTTTCCCACATTTTCCCCTCCTAATTGTGCTAGAATGTAACTGAAAGTAATTTAACATGCATTGCAAAATTATATTTGTTTAATATTTACAATAATCACTAAACATATATTTATGTCAATAAATATTTGAAGAGTTCTCGTCTCGTGTCTTCAGCACTTAACAACTTAAGAAATTAGCCACTCTGCTGCTCAATTGGAAGCCCTATAATTATATCCGAGTATCTCCTATATTATTTATAATCCCAGTAAGACGCACTTTCTTCAGGTACTTCATCCGAATGGCAACTCAAATAAATACAATTTAAAATTAATACTGATTGACAATTGCACAATTTTTTATAAATACGAAATTAAGAATGGATACTCGTAACAGATATCTTTGTATATATAAGCGGAGGAACATCTAATCCGAAGGAACAAAGAAATAATGACTCATATTCTAGTCGAACCAAGTTATTGGTCAATCGTTCTCAATTTTCTGGGTGAGTTTTTGAGTGTCTTGGCAAACAAATGGTAGTACTCTAAGTCGGTGTTTCCATTTAGCCCAAAAATATTTTATGGATTCGCATGCCACCTGCATTTTGTGGCATCCTGCATTTGACGTACAGATGGATGGAAGCCTGCCTCTAATAATTATGGACTCGCACAAGTGGATAGATGTAGAGGATGATGTCTACGATTATGAGAGTAGGCGACGCGAGTTTGAGATGAATGGTATCGCCTACAACGATTGGATACTAAGGCTGACGGTTGCCATTGAACATTCCCATTGCGAGGTACATATGTTTTTGTGTCTTAGTCAAAAATTGTGTCGCACCTGGAGTGAGTATCTGGCCGACAGTAATGGCAGACGTCATGAAAACCAAGACTTAAATGCTTGTGATTCGTGAACAGATCAATCAACTGAAATGGTAGAGAGGCTTAAAGCAGAAGATTTATGGTTTTTATAAAGTAATCGAACCATTTTTTGATGCTCCGGCAATTTGATGAACGAAAGTGTCAGCAATAGCTTCGTTTTGGACTCCATACGAACGTCTCGAACATCGGACACAAATTGTTTCGTCTCAGAGCTGGTCATCTGCCAGCGCTTGCCCAGCTTCAGATGTGACAGCTTGGAGCAGCTGGTTAGGACAGACAGAAGCTGACAATTGACTCCTTTAATGGGATTAATACATTCTATGGCCAAGCATTCGAGTTCAGTTAGTTGACTCAATTTGTCCACAGATTCTGAGGGCCAGTTGTCGCATTCGAGCGCCTTGAGTATCTTAAGTGCCAGTATGTGATGCACTTGGGCTGGCCCAACGCGAATAGACAGGAGCTGCAGCTGCTCCAAGCGATTGGCATAGCGTTTGGCCAAGGATTTATAGAAATCGCTGTTCACTTCCCCAATCCAGCGCGAGATCATACGCAGAGATTTCAGCGACCTAAACTCTCCTATATCGGGAAGGTTCAAGTGAAAGTTCTCCAGTGTTAGATGTTCCAGTTGGACACAATGGTCTGCCAATTGGGGCAGTTGATACGAGCGTTTCAGGGCTCGTCCAAAGTTCAACAAGAGGCGGCACAATTTCGCCTTGTTGTGAAACATCCGCACGAAATTCTCTTCAGCAAGATTGACGTCAATCCCATCCACATCTAGGGCTTGCAGTTCACCGAAATTTTGCAACTGTTCAACTGCATGAGATATGCATTAGATATATGTACATACATATATGTGTATCAATTGGCAAGCACAGGAAAATAATAATACGAGTACCTACGCTGAGGCGCTCTAGCATCGATTAGCGTCAGGTTTCTCAGGCCAGGAAGCTTTATCAGCAACTGCATAATGGTAGTGTGTCCACCTCTACTGTCCCTCGACGCGGGCGGTGTGTCCGTGTCAGAGTGCATGAATATCAGCACAAGTTGTTGCAGATTCGAACAGTGCTGGCTGAGCAGATCCAGAAATGGGTGGGTGAACGACTCGTCCCAGCGACCGTGGGGTACCTCACAACGAACCACGCTAGAACCGCACAGTTCCAGCATGTATTCCCAGTCCTGGACGGTTTTTAGCATCTTCACATTGATTTTACTATAGCGCGTAGGCAATAGGCTCGCCAGCACTTGGCGGAACAGGGGATGGGCGCGGCCCAGATTTAGTTGGTCCTCGAGTGCGTTCAGATACGAAAGTATCTCCAAATAACAGTCGTAGTTTAGCTGGAGTATACCTGGCTTGGGTCTGATTCCCTGCGGTCTTCCCTCTTTTCCTCCAAGGAAGGAAAACGGACAGCCGAGTCCTAGTTTATCCATTATAATTTGGATTTGTTCTCGAATTTCCGAATTTCGATTATATTTATAGTCCTGCTATCGATAACAGACCAGCTGATTATGGACAATCGAAACTAAACCATTTGCTATTATAAATGCATATTTAAGACATTTCTAGCATTTCAAGAGCAGATACCGGATTTTGCTCGGTTTTTCTATAATGCCAGCATTTACTCGATTTGGCGCTCGCTGCGGAATCGGTTTATTTTTGCCTACACAGATGAGCTACTGGAGGATAAGGACATTCTCCGAGGATACATATTTTACGGTATGGAGTACCATTTCTATTGTTGGCTACCATTAAGAAATCATTCTTTTCATTTATTAATTAAAGATCAACCCAATGTTTTAGTGGTCAGATCCCCATATCTGAATTCGAGCATCTTTGACATCAAAACAAATCGCTTTGTGGGCTCGCGAAACTTTGACGACAGACCGATCGAATTCTATTTACTGCAACGCTATGACGCTCAGAACAGGGAAATTATTTGGGAAAGTGGCAACACAATGTCCAAAAAGCTGAAGGATCTACAGGGTCGTGAAGTTGTCATTGGAATCTTCAATTACAAGCCATTCATGTTGCTGGAATATGTGGGTACATTTATTTTTGAAAACAGAATTTTTTTCAATAGAACCTTTTCTAAACGAATTGGCTAGGAAAGGCAGCCGACTGTTTACGATCGCGCTCAAGGCAAGACGGAAGTCTTCATCGATGGCACCGAAGTGCGTCTGATGATGCTATTCTGTGAACTCCACAACTGCACTATCCAGGTTGATACAAGTAGGTTATTGTACTCATAAGGGTATTCTTAAGCTCACGAATAATTCATTCTGTTCCAAGCTGAGACGGGCGACTGGGGTGGTATCTATTCAAACGGCACGGGCTATGGTCTTTTAGGAATGGTGCTCGATAGACGGAACGACTATGGCATTGGGGGATTGTATTTCTGGTAGGATTGCCATACCATATTCGTATTTGTCATCCATATTAGTTCATACCCTCCTAAAATGTTTTGGATAGGTATGAAGCTTATCAATTCATGGATATGACCCACTTTATTGGTCGTTCTGGGGTCACCTGTCTGGTGCCAGCTCCCCATCATTTAATCAGCTGGACCATGCTTCTACGACCATTCCAGCCCATGCTTTGGCTGTGTGTGATGGTCTGCCTGCTGCTCGAGATACTGGGCCTTTGCTTGACCCGTCGTTTTGAGCATTGGACGCGGGCACAGACCTGGGTCGAAAGTCTACGGTTTGGCTTCGGCAGTGCGCTAAAACTATTCGTCAACCAGAGCACCAGCTATATAACCAGCTCGAATTCACTGCGAACCGTTCTCTTGGCCAGCTACTTGATTGACATTATTCTGACGACCGTCTACAGTGGCGGACTGGCGGCTATTCTGACTCTGCCCACTATGGAGGAAGCGCCCGACTCTCGGCAGCGTCTCTATGATCATAAACTTATCTGGACTGGTACATCACAGGCATGGATCGCCACGATCGATGAGCGGTCAGCTGACGTGAGTCCTGAGTCGTGGAAATATTACAAATATTCAAAATCTGTCAGTTTTAGCCAGTTCTCCTGGGACTTATGGAGCATTATCGTGTATCCGATGCCGCCCAGATCTCAGACTACGCCCGTTCGGAGCAGATGGGATTTGTTGTGGAGCGCTTGATGTATGGGCACGTGGGTAATACAGAGTTGATTGCCAACGAATCATTGGAACGATTAAAGCTTATGGTCGATGACATATACTTTGCCCTCACGGCGGCATTTGTGCCACGACTGTGGCCCCATCTGGAAGCCTACAACAACTTTATTATGGCCTGGATCTCCTCGGGCCTGGACAAATTCTGGGAGTGGAAGATTGCCGCCCAATATATGAACGCTCATCGGCAGAATCGCATACTTGCCTCCCAGAGGCTGAACCTTGAAATCGGTCCCGTTAAGCTGGGCATCGACAACATCATTGGCCTGATCATGCTTTGGTGCTTTGGCCTGATATGTAGCTTGCTGACATTTATGGGGGAGCTATGGCACCACAAGCAAGTGAAAATGCCAGTACCTTAAGTAGTTTTGGGTTAAATTAATACGAATGAATTGTTAAATTTGGTTTGTTTTTTGGATTTGCTTAGCTCGTGCCAGACGTGGAGGCCAAATAAATTTTGCAACCATGTAAACACAGAAGTAAAAAATCATAAAAAAAAGTTCCGAAACGAGAGCTTAGATCTTGCTGTTTAGATGAAGCACCTGGTTGGTGACAGGCGTGATTGGGGGATTAAGCTCGTAGTCTGCGAGAGGCGTGCCCCACAGCTCGAACAGCGTTTTACTGGCCAGTTCCACCGAGTCCGAGCTAGGGGGAATCTGTAAAAACCACAAAGCTTTTAACAAGTTGAGCTTTTACTCCACTGTACCTTTATTTCTGGTCCACCTTTGCCGTCTTTAAATTTCTTCTTGTACTGCGCAATGGCAAATCCGTTGTCTTCAGTGGGGGGTGCAAATTCATCTATGTTCATATGCATAAGCTTCCCAGGTTCACCTGTTGGTATCAATTGACAAGGAGAGCGTTCCAAGCATACATATGTACATACATATGTGATCAGAGGTAACATACCAAAACAGCCGGACGCCACAATGGTAATTTTGTCAATGAGTGTCTTTAGGCTCTTATCTGCATGCAGAAACAGGAACACACTCGGTCTCGGGTCACGCTTATTGATCAGTCCTTCAATCCCTTTTTGTAGAGCCCTTCATACTCTTTCCGACTGTATGGGTTTGATCTCGCGCAGCTTCTCAGAAGCACAGCTTTTCTCCGTACTGTTAAATTGCCAGGCGGGCATTGATAGAAAAATGAACATAAGAGGCAGAACAGCATAAAAGTACCAGCTCGTCTGATTGACATGCACCACATCCATAGTTAGCCCCCCGAGTTTTGATCTTCCTCTCCGGATGAACCTTCTTCAAAGTTCGCTACTGACTCCGGAATGTTGTCTTCTTTGTTTTCCTTATCCTCCGAGGCATTTGGAAGGTGCTCGTCATTATCCACCGCATCAAAAGATTGCTAAACAGATCGGTTGGGGCTTTCGGTACTATTAGCCATTTTAATTTTATTGGATAAACGTAAACAATTGTTTTGTGACAGTTAGTGGTTTAACACAAAATTGTTATCGATGGTTTGCGGCGTAAGATATCGATATTTCAAAATCATAAAATCCCCCAAAACAATAAATAAATTTCAATATAGTTAAATTTTGACTTCTCTCCAATAACATTCCACTTCTTAGAGAACGAGATTTTTTTGTATTTTTAGAACCGATGGCGGTTTTCGCTATTAATATTTCTTTTAGTTAATACCAATTTGTATATGTACAGATTATCCTCTATTTATAATGACAATTATCCCAAGGAGATGACTGTTTACTCAGCTGGGGGCACGGTGTTTAATTTCAAGCGCCGTAGGCGGCCTAGGACAAAGATCTCGTCAATTGCTCGTTTGGCATAGAACTTCTGGTCTTCACTGAGCTTGCGATACTCTAGGGACCATGTTTGGGCGTATATAGAGGACTCCTGAGCTTCAGTGACATCGAGGGACATCGGTATGTCCGGCTGTTTCTGAAGATGGGGCTGGGGCTGGAGCTGAGGCTGGACGATGCAAGCACTGGCGAAGGCGGCAACGTCTGCGGCAGTGGGTTTCTTTTCAAGCTCGTCCTCAAGGTGTTGATGCTTTTCCTCCTTGCTCACCTCCATCTCTAATACGGCGGGTATCCGTTCCGTTTCGTCCATCGGTGAGTGGTGCTCCTCTTCGCTCGTGTCGATTTCGCCTTCGTGTGTTTTTGGGCTTGATTTACATCCGAAGACAAGTGCTTTTTTTAGATACTGCAGATGGCACCTGTGGCGGCGTAGATTTGTCGTCGATTTGTGGGTAAAAGACATTAATCCCTTGCAGCCAGTGCAATACAATAGGTTCTCAAGGATTGTGCCATCCTCTTTCTCAATTTTTCGGTAAACGCGCCACACAGTGCTGCGCGTGCTTTTGTCGTTTACTGCAAGCTTGTAGATTCCATTTTCTATTTTTTCTCGTATATCTTCGGACCTAACTGGCATTGTTACGGTTGCTGGAGCCTGCGAGGTATTACTGGGGTTTGTTTAAAATTATTTTGTTATGATTTTTTTACATACACCAGCTAGCGATGTGCGGTGTTCACAGAACCAATTATCGACATTAAATAAACATCGATTTGCACAGTGACGATAGAATCGAACCATAGACTGCAACAACTCCAGCAACTGGCACATTGCGCCGGCATTATATAGTATATCTATCGAATATTGTTTTTATTTAAAAAATCAGTTTTACCTAGTTTTGGTCCCTAGTTTCAATGGCCGCTTATTGTTTGGACTTTCTTGGCTTCCAGGTGAGTGGCAAATTATGAGATTATGTTGTTCAATACCACCATCTAACATGGTTCTCGTCTGTTAACAGGAGGCGCTGAAAAAGATGCGAGATGTGGATGACAAAATTATATACGCTCTGAACGCACTTCCCACCGAATCTTTCAAGGGCCAGGTGGATAGCGAAAACACGTGCCGCGACCTGTATGCTAAGCTGCAGCAATCGCACCTCTCTCGGGTAATCTAAATCTTTTCGATCTAGATCGCCCCAATTAAATTTTTATTTTTTAATCGAACAGCAAGACAAGATACGCAATTGCATAACACTGTCGGCGAATAGTCTGAAGAACCTCCGGGAGCAGCAAGAGGCTCAGCCTAGTGATGTGGATACGGGCAGCAAGTTCAAGGCAGAGCAGCGAAAGGTAAAGGCATCATGGAATACCCACAGGTGTGCGTGCTTATAAATTGAAATTATGTTTATCTGCTCTATAGCTGAGGGTGCTGCAATCAGAGCTGTATGTGGAAGACATCATCAAAGAGCGGACGTACAAGGCATTCAATGAACGCTGCCGGTCCTACTTCCATGCTGGACAATAGAGTGATTCGCAATATCAAAGTGCAATTGAACGTAGTGCAGTGACTTGATTAGTTTTAAGCTTAAATCTTAGGTCTAAACCATAAGGGAATCGCCCAAAAAACATTACTGACCTGGTGGCATTTATAAGCACTTGGTTTGCACTTGGCATATTGGCTAAAGAAATACATAAATAAACCCGAAAACAATTTATTTTTCATTCATTGTTTGGCAAATCGTACATTTCATGTGTGGATCTGATGGAAACGTTCTTCATTGCTGCCAAGGCTCCAATTACTAGCTGGGTCGCATCCTTCAGGTTGTTGTATTCGTGCATTAGTTTCATAATGTGCTTTAGCTGAGCCACTTTTGTACTGTCCGGGCGATTAATTTGCTTTTTGGCCTTTCGACGGGCTTTTCCTTTCGAACTTTTCATAATGCTTGCCTTCAAGTTGCGAGTCTTGGCCCCATTCAACTAATGCTCGCTATCGATATCATCATATCTATTGCATCAGCTGTAGTGCATTCCAGGAATATCTGGCAACTCTGTGCGCTAAAACGTGTGGCGTATCGTGCGTAAAATTTCCCATTACTCTTCGCAAAGAAAGCCCTCCCATAGACAGGTAAAGAGAGTGTTGATTGTTAATAATTCCGTAGCATGTGCTATTACTTACCAAAAAGAGTGACTGGGCAAGTTGTGGGTGCAGTACGGCCTGCTTCTGACCTAAGCCCACGCACAAACACATGCATGCATACATATGTACACTTTGCCATACACACAATATAAATGTGAAAGTGTTGTGATTGTGCATATTGCTTAAAAAACTAAAAAGTTCATCGAACGCGAATGTACATACTAGTACACCACATCAAATATTTGGAGAGCAACGTCATATCCGGGCTCTTTCCGAGATACCCCTGCCCTAAGGAAAAGTTAGGGAGTTTTAGGGCTTGGCACTTCACTAAAGTGTGGATTAAATCAGACCTCATTGACTGTTTATGTTCATATGTATGTACATTATATGCGTTTAACGAACATGTATCAAAGTTTTTTATATTTTCCATTTATTTTTCATTTCCAAAGTAAAATAATTATTCAATAATTTTCCACACATGAAAATTTTCAGCATAGTGAACTGAAACGTCAACACCATGTCCGCTACCCATAAACAGCGGTATAAAAATGCCGCACTGGACTCGACAGAAATGCGTCGCCGCCGCGAGGAAGTTGGCATCCAGTTGCGAAAAACCAAGCGTGAGCAGCAATTGTTCAAGCGTCGCAATGTTGTGCTGGATTCATCCCCCACCGGAATGGAGAGCAGCAGCAGCAGCGAGTTGCAGGTATACATTCTATATTTGGTTTACTGTGTTGCATGGTCACTAAACGACTTTATATCACAGAGCACGGACATGCAAATTGCGGACAGTACTACTGGCCAGCAAGGAATGGGGACACAGTCATTGGGCCAGGCAGAAGCTGGTGCCGGAACAGGACCGCAACAATCGATTATTAACCAGGAAATGATAAAAATGCTATACAGCTCAAAGGAGGCCGATCAACTCGAGGCAACGCAAAAGTTTCGCAAGTTGTTGTCCCGCGATCCAAATCCGCCCATCGAGGAGGTCATACAGAGAGGCATAGTTCCCCAGTTTGTAACCTTTTTAAGAAAAAACAGCAATGCCACTCTGCAGTTTGAGGCAGCCTGGACACTGACAAACATTGCCTCGGGTACCTCGCATCAAACCAAGATTGTCATTGAGGCTGGGGCTGTGCCCATATTCATAGACCTGCTGTCCAGCCCCCACGACGATGTGCAGGAGCAGGCCGTTTGGGCTCTGGGCAACATAGCTGGCGACTCCCCCTTGTGCCGTGACCATCTTCTTAGCTCTGGCATTATGCTGCCCCTGTTGCAGTGAGTAGAGAAGAGCATTTGTTGGCGTCCTCCAACAGACAATATATACATTTTTCTTTTTTTGCAGAGTGTTGAGCTCTTCGGAGCGTATCACTATGATCCGGAATGCCGTTTGGACACTCTCAAATTTGTGCCGTGGCAAAAGTCCGCCAGCGGACTTCACTAAAATAGTTCACGGTCTGCCCATACTGGCTCGCCTGCTCGATTACACCGATGTGGATGTACTCAGCGACACATGCTGGGCCATCAGCTATTTGTCCGATGGACCCAATGATAAAATTCAGGCTGTCATAGATGCTGGCGTTTCTCGTCGTCTGGTCGAACTGCTACTGTGAGTACTTGTGGTTCAAATAAGATTAACTCAACCGCTTATCCTCCTTCTTCTCATTCGTCTTTCAGGCATCCCCAGCAGAATGTCAGCACAGCTGCTTTGAGGGCTGTCGGTAATATTGTGACCGGTGATGATCAACAGACTCAAATGATATTGAGCTACAATGCGTTGCCCTGCATTAGCCACTTGCTCCACTCGACGACGGAGACGATCAAGAAGGAATCCTGCTGGACCATATCAAATATTGCCGCTGGCAATCGGGATCAGATTCAGGCCCTTATCAATGCCAACATATTCCCACAGTTGATGACCATTATGCAGACGGCCGAGTTCAGGACGCGCAAAGAGGCCGCCTGGGCCATTACCAATGCCACCAGCAGTGGCACCTCCGAGCAGATCAACTATCTGGTGGAGGTCGGCTGCGTGCCGCCAATGTGTGATTTCCTCACTGTTATCGATTCGGACATTGTTCAGGTGGCGCTCAATGCCCTGGAGAATATACTTAAAGCGGGCGAAAAGTACCAGGTTCGACCCAATCCTTATGCCATGGCCATCGAAGAGTGCGGAGGTAAGTACATTTTGTTCATAATTCATAATTGTATCCTAATGCCTTACTTTTACCTTTAGGTTTGGACAAAATCGAGTATCTGCAGGCGCATGAGAACCGTGACATCTATCACAAATCATTCTACATCATTGAGCAGTACTTTGGAAACGAGGAGGAGGACACTCGTGTGGCTCCTGTGGCGGGAAATCAACAGTTCGAGTTCAATCCGCAGAATATGCCAGATAATGGTTTCAATTTTTAGTACCAGCAAAAGATGAATATTCAAACTGACAAACAAAGAAAAACGCGACAGAAAGGTAGATGAGAGGGGACAGCAACAGCCGACACAGTGAGGCTGGCAGGCAGGCAGGCACATGTCTAAGTGCAGTCACTACTAGCATTTAAGTCAAATTGGTGGTCCGTCAGCGGTCGGCTCATTTCATGATTTTGTTAAGAATACTCTCTCCCATGATGATTTTGATTTCGATTTTGATTTTGATTATGGTTACTTTTAATTTGCCAACGCAATTGGTCCAGGACCATCCTGAAAGTGTTGCCCCTAGATAGCTACATAGTTTATTATACTCCACCATGGAATTTTATTCCTTCTCAAATTTCAGTTTGTAAATACTTTTTCATACGTTGAGAGCCCTGACTTGGTGTTGTTATACATACATGCGTAAAAACAGACAAAAATGAACGATAACGATGATCATTAACGAATAATGATAACGATGATAATATGGTTTTTATTTAATTTCAATTTTGTTACACAAATTGTTTAAATTATGAAGATTTTAGTTTAATGTAGAGGACACTTTAATAAAAAAAAATAAAAAAACCAGACCAGACCAGAACCACACCTGATCGGCATACTATCTCTGGTTATTTTTCTGAATAACCTTAAGATTATTTTACATACATATGTATAATGTGGAAATGTATGCCCAACACCCTACCTGATTACCAAGATCCAACCATTCTTAGGAACGCTTCACGAACTTTACTTTGTAGGGCTTTGGCGTGAGCGTGATTCCGGGCAGCAGTACCATCGATGGTGTCTCTCCTGGCGGCAGAACAATGCAAAAGTGCTGTACTATCCTAACCAGAAAGGAGAAGATGCAGGCACGAGCCAAGGCATCGCCCAGACAGCGGCGTCTGCCTATTCCGAAGGGCATGAAAAACTCATCCTTGAAGCACTTGCCACCCACATCGATGAAGCGCTCTGGCCGAAACTGCAACGGATCCACCCAGTGCTGCTCGTCAAGATGCACCGAACGCAAGTTAATCAGAATGGTGGCATTCTTGGGAATGTCGTAGCCTCCCAGCTGTGTGGGCCAGAGGGCACGACGGGGTCCCGTGATGGGTGTGATGTGGAAGAAACGCTGCACTTCCATGATGAAAGCGTCCATGTAGTCAAAGGCTTCCCGCCGACTGAGATGGGGAAAGGCGTCCGATTTGGCGGAGTTGACGTTGGCCGAGACCTCGGCGAACAGCTTCTCCTGGACATCCGATCTCATGGCCAGCACCATGAGAGCCAGGTTGATGGTGTTGCTGGTGGTTTGGGAGCCGGCAATGAAAAAGTCCAAAATGGTCATCACCAGCTGGGTTTCGTTGAAGCTACTGCTCTCACTATCCGAACTCTGGTCCCGCATCTCCTGCAGATAGGCATAGATCAGGTCACTCTCCACCGGCTCATTGTCCGACGCCTTCTCCAGCTGCCGTCTGTGATCCGCTATGGTATCCATGAAGAAGCCGTAGAGCTCTGTGTTGAGCTGTCGGATGAGATTGTAGCCGGTGCGATCGGGGGCCACATGCCGCAGCCAGGGGAACTGCGCGAGTAGCCCCCCACAGACATCGAACAGCTTAGAGCGACGATTCATCAGGTCCAGCAACCTCTGCAGCATGCTGTTCCCCTCGCTGGCGATCCTCTTTCCGGCTATGAGGCACCACAGCACATTGAGCACACCGTGGGCCAACCATGTCACCGGCTCTATGGGTGCCTCCTCAGTCTGGCCCAGCTGCAACAGAAGCTCCTCCGCCTCCCGCTCAATGTGGCTCTCCATCTGACTACGTCCGTAGCCGACGTGGCGCATCTGCTTCATGGCAAAGTTGCGGTGCTCGTACCAGAGCTTCCCGTCCGTGAAGGTTATACCCTTCCTCGTTCCCATCGTCCGCAGCCGCAGAAAGAAGTTGTCCGGCCTCCCCTCAAAGACCTCCTGCAACTGCACCTCGCGCACCATCTCGTGCCCAAGGGCCACCACCACGTACTCCTGACCTAGCTTCAGTCCCAGCAATTGGCTCTGGTATCGCTGCGCCCACTGGCCAAAGAGGATGTGCTGGCCGCCCACAGCCCGTGCCTCCTTACGGAACTGCAGCGTGTTGCCCAGCCAAGGCAAGAATCGGGGACCTGAATGTAAAGAGAAAATCTGTTCAGAAAACTATCCTATCTTATATTGAATCGATGTCTTATTGTGGTTGGTTGGTGATCGATCGGTGATTAAAGTTCAAATGAGAACTAAACCGTTCGTATGCCTATGCCTATGTCCGGAAGGAATACTCGTATGTATGGAGTACTACACTAATCTAATCGGCAGCTAGTGAAATCTGTTAGCTAGTAAATCATGAAATCGCCTAAAAGAAAACTTTAAATTGAAATCTGTTGGTTATCAGAAATA